ATAGAAACTTTTCAGTCTGAAATGCAAAAGGAAAAAAGAGTGGTGGAAGAAAAAGAACAGAACTTCCAAGAATTGCGGAACAATATTAAAAAGTATAACATACATGTAATTTAAACACAGAAGAAAGCAAGAACAAAAAAGAAGAAATATTTAAAGGAATAATGACCAAGAGTTTTCCAAAATTACTGACAGACATGAAATCACAGATCTTGGAAGCTCAGAGGACAGGTTAAATGACAACAAACCAAACCAAAATAAAACAAACAAGCAACTTCAACAACACAGCTGGACATATTATTTTCAAACTGCAGAAAACCAAAAACAGAGAAAATATTAAAAGAAGCCAGAGCAAAACAAAGAAGTAGAGGGACAAAGATAATACTTATAGGGGACTTCTCAGCCACAAAAACAGTAAACTGAAATATTTAAAGTGTTGAAAAAAAGCCCACTAACCTAGAACCTTATATTCAATAAAATTAAACTTCAAAAGTAAAATAGATACAAGGCTTTTTCAGACAAACAAAAACAGATAAAATTCATTACCAGCAGACCATCTCTGCAAGAAATGTAAGAAATTCTTTAGGCAGAAGGAAATTTATATAAGTCAGAAATTCAGATTTATGCAAAGAAAGGAATGTCTCAGAGAAGGAATAAATAAAAGTAGTAAAAAAACTTTTAGTTTTCTTAGTCTTAATTGCTCTAATATATAACTGTTTACTAAGAGTAATATAATAGTTATAATATATTGGCTGATTATAGCATAGAGATAAATAATTGACAGGAAAGTTATATAAAATGAGAGGGAGAAATTAGAAATACTATGTTATAAGGTACTGGTATTATACAAGGTACCCATACTATACATGAATTGTGTAGTTTTATTTGAAGATAGATTTAAATTATTTAAAAATGTGTATTGGAATTTGAGGGCAATCACTAAAAGAATTAAGGAAATATAATTGATATTTTGAGAAAAGACTGCAGTTGACCTTGGGTAACAGAAACCATGGGAAGTGAAACCATGAATAAAGAGAAACTACTGTACTCTCTTTTTTCCCTGGTTAAATTGATTAAAGATTTATCAATTTGTCTGATAACCAACCTTGGGTTTTGTTAATTTACTTTATTACTTTTTTTGTTTTTGATGTCACTGGCTGCTGCTCTAATTTTATTATTCTTTTCTTTTAAAATCCCCTTGATTTAGGTTTCAATTGCTCTTTCTCTAAGGTGGGAATTTAGGTTGTTGATATGAATGTTTTATTCTTTTCTAAGATAAGTGTTTAGGGCTATAAGTTCTAAGCCAAGTTTTTTGTTGTAGTCCATGACTTTGATAAGTTATATTCATATTTAGTTCAAAATATTTCTTCACTTTCTCTTGAGACTTCTTATTTGACCCAGATGTTATTCTGAAATATGTTGGTTACTAATATTTTAGGATTTTTCCTGCTATCTTTCTGCCATTGATTCCTAGTTTAATTCCACTGTGGTCTGAGAATATATTTTGTATCATTTCTATCTTTTTAAATTTGTTCAACTGTATTCTATGGCCAAGAATATAGTCTATCTTGCAGAATAGTTCATGAGAGCCTCAGAAGAATGTATATTCTGCTGTTAAATGGAATATTCATTCTATAAAAGTCAATATTCACTAGGACCAAGTGGAATTTATTCCTGATATTCAAGGTTGGTTCAATATTTGAAATCAATCTGTGTAATCAACAATATCAATAAGCTAAGGGAAAAATAATATGATCATATCAATTGATGGAGAAAAGGCATTTGACAAAATTCATCACCCATTCACAGTAAAAAAAAAAAAAATTCAGCAAACTGGGAAGTGAAGGGAATTTCCTTAACTTGATAAAAAAAAAAAAACCTATGAAAAACCCACTGCTAACATCATGCTTAATGGTGAAAAACAGTATGGTTTCCTCCTAAGATTTGTAACAAGGACAGAATGTATTCCCTTAGTATTTCTCTTTAACACCATACGAGAAATCCTACTATTGCAATAAGATAAGAAAAGGAAATAAATTGTATATGAATCTCTAAGGAAGAAATCAAACTGTCTTAATTTGCAGATGATATTATTGTCTATGCAGAACATCCCAAAAAAACCTCCAGTAATGAATATGCCACTCTATCAGGGCCACAGGATTAATATATAAAAGTAAATATATAGAAGTCAATTACTTTCAAACATTCCATAAATGAAGTATTGGAATTTGAAATTTTAAAAAAGAACATCAACAATAGCACCAATGCCTCCATGAATATTTAAAAATAAATCTGACAAAATATGCACAAACCTATATGTCAAGCTACAAAACTCTAAAAGAAAAAAATCAAATGAACTAACAAAAGGAAAGATAGTATTTGATCATGGATCAGAAGACTCAATATTGTTAAGATGAAATTCTTCCCAACTTGATCTACAGATCCACACAATTCCAATCAAAATCCCAGCAAGCTATTTTTTTTTTTTGTATATTGAGAAATTGATTCTAAAATTTTCATGGAAAGGCAAATGATCTAGAAGAGCCAGCACAATACCAAAGATGAAGGAAAACAAAGTTGGAGGATTCACACTACCAAAATTCAAGACTTACTCTAAAGGTACAGTAATCAACACAGCATGGTATTAGCGAAAGAATAGACACATGGATCAACGGAACATACTAGAGAGATCAGAAGATCCACACAATTATACTCACCTGATCTTTGAATAAGAACAAAGGCAATTCAATGGAAAAATCATCTTTCTCAATAAATGATGCCAGAAGAGTTTGATGTCTATATACCAATAAAATTAGACACATACTTCAGATGTTTCACATAAATCAATGCAAAATGTATAAAATAAATATAAAATACAAAACTATAAAACTACTTGAAAAATATTAGATCTTGATGAATTTGAATGTTTAATACAACACCAAAAGCATAATCCATGAATAAAAAATAAACTTGATGAGTTGTACTTTATTAAAAAGAAAATTTCCTTGGGCACCTGGGTGGCTCAGATGGTTAAGCGTCTGCCTTCGGCTCAGGTCATGATCCCAGGGTCCTGGGATCGAGTCCCGCATCGAGCTCCCTGCTCAGTGGGGAGCCTGCTTCTCCCTCTGCTTCTCTCTCTCTCTCTCTCTGTCTCTCACGAATAAATAAATAAAATCTTTAAAAAAAAAGAAAATTTCCTACTTTGCAAAAACTATTCTTGAGGGAATGAAATGTCTCAATCTGGGAAAAAGTATTTGCAAACACATACCTGATAGAGGACTATTACCCAAAATATATAAAGAATTCTTAAAACTCAGCAATAAGAAAACAGCACAATTAAAAAATGATCAAAAGATCTAAACAGAAATCTCACTAAAAAGATCTGATTTGTGTTCATCAGTTGTGACAAATGTGCCACTCTGGTGGCAATGTTGATAATGAGAGAGCCTCTGCATGTGTGGGGGGAACAGGGAGTATATAGGTTATCTCTGTACCTTCTGTTCAATTTTGCGTGAACCTAAAGTTGCTCTAAAAAATAAAGTTTATTCAAAAATAAAATAAACTGAAGTGTACCTGAATAATTTCCTTTCCTTAACTACTCAGACAGGGACTCAGAAAAAATGTAGAATTGGAGAAATAGAAAACAGAGAAAACGTAGAATATATGCAGATGGAAAAATAATCACATGAAAGCTGCTTACCATCGTTTGTCATTAGGAATTTGAAAATCAAAACAATGAGACACCATTATATCCCTGTTAGAATAGTTGAAGTCTAAAAGCTTACAACCAAATTCTGATGACCCATGGACCAATAATAATTCTTGCTCATTGACGGTAAGATGCAAATAAGTACAGCCACTTTGGAACACAGTTTGGCAGTTTCTTGCAAAGCTAAATATAGTTTTATCTGATAATTCAGAAATTATGCTCCTAGGTAGTCACCTAACTGATTTGAAAATTTATGTCTACATGGAAACCTGAATAATATTTATAGGAATCATAATCACACCAAATTGGAAGAACCAAGATACCTTTCAAGAGATGAATGGATAATACTGTAGTATATACATCCATATAATGATTTCTTCCTTGCTGATTTGGATGCCTTTTACTTCTTTTTGTTGTCCGTACATCCATACAATAAAAGTTATAAAAAGAAATGAGTCAAGCCACATAAAGACATGGACGAATTGTAAATACATATTGTTAAGTGAAAGAAAACAGTCTTAAGAGACTGTGTACTCTATGATTCCAAGTATGTGATATTTGGCAAAGATAAAACTATAGAGATGATTAAAATATCAGTATTTGCCAGGGTGCAGAGGGCACAGGGTTTGAACTTGTGAAGCACAGGGTATCTTTTAGGATGCTGAAACTATTTTGTTTGAAACTCTAATGGTGGCTACATGACACTACACATTTGTCAAAACCCAAAGATCTTTACATCCTATCAGTGAATCTTAATGTATACAAATTAAAAAAAAAAAATCACTCAAGAGGCCAGGAGATCCATGGACGGAATGCAGAAAGTGCCAAAACAGTTCAACTGTTTTACGGATGTACAAATCATTTTCACTGAAATATACGGAGAAAAGATGGTGAACTAAGTAACTTTGGAAACAAATGGAGTCTGTAGGACAAAAGACAAAAGCAGGTGTACATAAGTACCGTACTCTAGTTGATATAGTTGTGTCTTACGAGGGTAAGGTCAACAATCCTGAAACCGATATACGTATATGCTGGAATTGAATAATTAGGTACATGGATGGCAGATGATGGCAGCTAGGTTTCTCATTGTTTTAATGAGAGATTACAGATAAGCAATGAGAAAAGGCTAGAATGATCCATGTGGTAATGCTTTAGAGTTAGAGATATCATACGAACTCATGTTTGGCTTACTATAGATACTATAGATTTTTTTTTTTAATGGAGATTTTTTTTCTTTATTGAGAAACTTAAGACTTGGGTTCATCAAATAAAACCAATTTCTGGGGGAAAAAATCAAAACCCACAATAGAAAAAAAAAAGTTAACACTGTCTGGGCCATAGCAGAACCCAGAGAATATATTCTTTTAATTGAAAAATTCTAGGTGCTTCATAATTGACCTTTTGATACAAAATGACCTATTAAATTTCCAGTTTGTGGTTCTTGGTGTTCAGGTCCATAGGACACGCTAGAAATCTTCAAACCTTGAGCTGAATTCCAGGAGGGGTTATTTGGCTTTTGAATCGTTTTTTCCTTGGCTAAGAGGTAGCAGCGGCAACAGCGCCCACCTTCTGGGCAGCTTCTTTCTTGGCATGATGAGCCTGCAGAACCGCCATAGCTTCATCCACCTTGGGGCGGAGCGACTCGGAGGACTCGAGCATGTGCAGCCAGCTCAGAGTTGTCGATCTCCAGCAGCATGCCCGTGATTTTCCCAGCCAGGTTTGAATGCATGGTTTGGATGAGCGGGAACAAACGTTCTCCCAGCATCTGCTTCTGCTCCTGGGAGGGTGCTGCGGCCAGCATGGAGGCGGTCAGGGTCTCCTGCCCCTGCGCGTGGACCGCAGGCTGCGGCGCCTGAAAGGGCTGGATGGCAGGGTGAGGGCTGCGGACACTGGAGGCGTATTTGTAAGGTGCGACAGCCCGAGGGGCAGTAGCAGCGACAGCAGCACGAGGTGCTAAGGTCTGCACGGCTGGGGGAACACCTCCAGACTGGCAGCTGTCAGTCAGCCCTTGCTGGGCGGCGCCAGCCCCACCAAAGTCCACAGCCAAGCGGTCCGGGCACTCAGACCCGACTCTCTGAGCGGTAGTAGGGAGGCTGCGAGAGGTCGGAGCATTACTAGTTGGAGCCAGATGGCGAAGAGCGGGACGGGGCCCAGACTGGTGTTCCTTGGAAGCCTTGAGGTCTTCCACCTTGCTGGCAGCAAAAGAGAAATATTTATAGATATTTGTATAAACATGGGTTAGTATACACAAATATTTATTCCCTTGCTTTGTTAACTCAGAGGAACTAGAGGCAATAACACCTCAATATTAATATGCACCTAACACCCACTTCTTGTTTTCTAATGCATATCTCCAGTATAAGGACCTGGGGATTTTGAGAAAGGGTTGATTCTAGGACTAGTACAGAAAATATAAATATTGAACCTTGATTATATTGTAGCAAAAGAAAGTAAGGAAATAGTCTAAAACAACACCAAGAAAGGACAACAAGAAGAAAGGACCCATTTGATGGGTGTATATCCAAGGGTATGTGCTGTGGGATATTACTTAATATCAACAGTAATAATTCATGCTGATAGTATGTACTCTTGATATGATGTTATGAGAATGGCACTTTACCTCTGTGTTCTTTCTCCCTCAAACACAAAATCCCTGTGTAATCATGAGGAAAAGATCAGATGAATCCTCATTTAGGGGTGGTTCTACAAAATAACCGACCAGTACTTTTCAAAATGTCTAGGTCATCATAAACAAGTAAAGTCTGAGGAACCTAAGAAGACATATCTTCCAAATGTAATTTAGTATCCAGGATGGGATATCCTGGAACATTAGGTAAAATATAAGGAATTAAACTTTGGTTAATAATGTATCAATTTTGGCTCATTAATTGTAACAAATGTGTCATACTAATGTACTATGCTAATAATAGGGAAAATAGGGTGTGGATTGTATGGGAACTCTGTACCGCCTTTGCAATTTTTCTGTAAATCTTAAACAGTTCTAAAATAAAACACTTATATATCATAAAAGAATACAAGAGACTTTCACTTAGTAAATCTTTATTGAGCTAATGATTAGCAGCTGCCTAGTGGACTGAGCTGACAGGTATTCGGAGATCCAGTTGAAGATCATCAAAGTGTCTCTACAGATTAAAACTGTTTGTTAATATTTTTGGTGGGATGTGAGGTGTCAGAAGGCAGGATTAGGTGGGGAATGCCATGCCTTTACATCTGATAATAAAATCCCCTCAATTCATACACGAAGTAATTGAGGCCCATGGGAGCCATAGGTACCAAAACTAAGAGAATTCCTAATATAGGTCAGATGTGTTGAAGTTGCAGGTTTTGTCCTAGGTTGTACCCTTACTCCAGTTTACTGGTTGAGTCACCTTGCACAAGGTCTCTACAAGTGTTGACCCTTGTTACACAGTAGTAAAGTACTAGGTACTAAGTTCTGGGCACTGTTCTAAACACTTCATTATGTATTGACTCATTTTATGCATACACACACACAAGGAAGATTTATGAGGCCAATTCTATTATTTTCCCTATTTTACAAAGAGGTTAAATAACTTGTCCTAGGTCACCAAGTGAGCAAATGTCAGAGCCAGCAGTCGAATCTTAGTAGTCTGGGGCCAGTGTCTATGTCCATAATATATTTTTGTCTTTATATGAAGACAAAACAGCATAATCATCAGTCTCTGGCTGTTTGGGTAGAACCGAAACCCTTGCCTCTTTTTTTTCCCCAGCTCTATTGAGATATAATTGACAAAGTATTGTCTAAGTTTAAGGTGTACAATGTGTTGATTTGATACACATATATTGCACTGTGATTACCACTGTAGTGTTAGCTAATATCTCCATCGTGTCACATGGTTATCATTTCTTTTTCTGGGGTGAGAACATTTAAGATTTACTCTCTTAGCAACTTTCAAGTAAATAGTATGGTCTTGTTAAGTATAATCATAATGCTGTTCCTTATATGCTCAGAACTTATCCATCTTCTAACTGGAAGTTTGTACTCTGACAAACGTCCTTCCATCTCTCCCACCCCCAGCCCCCCCAGCCCCTGGTAACCTCCATTGTATTCTCTATGAGTTCAAGTATTTTAGATTTCACATATGGGTGAGTTCATACAGTATATGTCTTTCTCTGTTTGACTTATTTTACTTAGCTTAATATCCTCGAGGTCCCCTGCCTCATATCTGTCAGAATGGTTATTATCAAAAAAACAAGAAATAAAAAGTGTTGGCAAGGATGTGGAGAAAAGGGAACTCCTATGTACTGTTGGTGGGAATGTAAATTGCATTAGCCACTATGGAAAAAAGTATGGAAGTTCTTCAAAAAATTAAAAAATAGAGCTACCATATGATCCAGCAATCCCACTTCTGGGTATTTATCCAAAGGAAATGAAAACAAGACATCAAAGCGATTATCTGTACTCTCATGTTCACTGCAGCATTTTTTTTCTTTTCTTTTCTTTTATTATTATTATTTTTTATGTTATGTTAGTCACCTTACATTACATCATTAGTTTCTGATGTAGTGTTCCGTGATTCACTGTTTGCGGATAACACCCAGTGCTCCATGCAGAACGTGCCCTCTTTAATACCCATCACCAGGCTAACCCATCCCCCCACCCCCTCCCCTCTAGAACCCTCAGTTTGTTTCCCTGAGCCCATAGTCTCTCTTGGTTCGTCTCCCCCTCTGATTTTCCCCCTTCATTTTTCCCTTCCTTCTCCTAATGTCCTCCATGCTATTCCTTATGTTCTACAAATAAGTGAAACCATATGATAATTGACTTTCTCTGCCTAGATGCCCTACAATAGGTGAATGGATAAAGACAATGTGGTCCATATATACAATGGAATATCACTGCAGCATTATTCACAGTAGCCAAGATACAAAGACAACCTAAATGTCCATCAATGTATGACTGGATAAAGAAGATGTGAGATATATGTATTTACTGGCATTTAACTCCTATGGTCTCTACTTATCACCATCTTAGTGAAGGTGTCAGCCTGAAACCTTTCACTATGTAGTAAAAGAATGTGCCCAAATTCACACTGCTAATATGTCAGACAGCAACAACTTAAACCAATGTCTGCTTAATCATATAGGCCATGCTCTTAACTATTCTGTGGCAAGGTGACATTTCCCCAGTACCCAACCCTTATAAATGACACATGCAGTTTCGTTTATTAAAGACATGATAAAGATGCAAATTTTTGCATAAAACGCAATTTCCGGACTTGAATCTTTTAGGTTCTCTGCAATTATTTCAAAGAGAACTTGTTACTCTGCCTTCATTTTCTTTTTGTTATTTGGGAATTCATTACTCTGGATAGTGTTAAAAATTGCTCCAGTAATAATAGTTTGGATTTGCTATTCATATTGTGTTCAAGTATTAACTTATCTTCACAAAATATCTACTGTTTACAAAAACATATGGATGCCAACGTTTTTTATATTATCACAGAAAATAAACAAAGGTACTTGAGCAATCTCTATTTTATGTTGGGGTTAGCCTTTCAGTGTTCAACAGTACTGTGTGCTTCTTTTAAAATGATTTACTTATCAATATATTATGAAACAGAAGCCTTTACCATTGTCTCTAGTTGCAATATTATTGAATACTCATGTTTACCTTCTGAAGCATTTTCCTTAGAATAGAAATACAAAACATTAGTGCAGGCTTTGTTAAATTTGCCACTTCTCTGATACATGAAAAGTACTTGAGTTGAGGACAGCATTTCAATGGTACTGAAAACCCTGAGGCTCTTCAAGCAAATAAAGACTTTTTGTCATTCTCATCTCTATTAGACTAGCAAATTGAATCAAAACTCTTTGACAGTGCTAAATTTTCAGATTTTTCCCCAAGACTACCTTTGCCTTCTCAGCTAGGGCAACTTGAATGTATGGGTCAAATTTATGTTTTTTTTTTTATATATATAGAAAAGGTATGTATTTGCATTTGTATATGTGTAATTGTAAGCATATATGCCTTTACTCTGTAGTATACACAGTATGTGCGTCTTACTGTTAGGATGAGAACCAACATATCAGTGAACAGAGGTGAAGGAGAAAACAAAAACATTATGCAGTAACCAAATCAATTAGCCATACATGTCTGAACAAAAAATAAAATTCTGTTTTAGATGGATCTGATACTTGCTTGAGAAATGTTTAATTTTTTTTTTACATTTTATAAATTTGTGTTTGATTTTGAATTTTTTTCCTTCACATATAAAAACCTCCTTCATTGTGCCCCTTCAGTTAAAACATGCCATAATAATAGTCCAGGCTTATCATTTTTCCTCTTCTACTTTCCATTATTGCTAGCAGCACGACAGCTCTCCTATCACCCAGGGTTACAACCTTGAGTCCATCTTTGATTATCTCTCTTTCTACCTTGTGTCTAGGACCTTTCTATGTCCTGCCATTTCTTTCTTTTATAATGTTTGAAAAGCTAGTTTCTTCTTTTTTGGTTTCCACCACCAAGACCCCAATCTACTTTCTTTTATTTTCTTTTATTTCTGCTCCAACTATTGCAATCTTCCACATTCTTGCCTCCATATCTTTCTTCTTCCATCTCAACTACTAGGTTGCTGTAAAGTCCAAGTATCTATTGGCACGTCTAAACCAGAGGAAAGAAAATGGCTTAACTTCAAAATGAATGTATTGAAAAGCAGAAACCACTGTTTGTTAAAGGTACAAACGATTATCAACATTTCAAAAAGTGCATCCCATGGAACTTTTAGTCTTTCAAGATCTTACACACACACACACACACCTGTGCTCAAATAATCTTGGGAAATACTGCGTACAATGTCTTCTCTTAAAGACTCAAATTCACACCGGCTTACTCAAAGTTATGGGAAGTCCTGTAGGAACATGAATCTTTTTTAACATTTTTAAGACAATATTTCTTAAATTCTTTGGACATATAATCACTCCTACTCTTTTTAATTTTTTTTTTTTTTTTTTTTAGTATAACACGGAGGGCACATTTTGGGAAGTGATTCTATGCTATCACCTTCCTCTATTTACATTTTCCCTTAAAAAGAAGAGCAAAGTCTGGGATTGCCTTAATTTAAAAAATGTAGAGATTCCAGTGAACCATAAGCACCATTCCAGAAACCCAAAGAAAGCCTCACCTCCTAGGAACAGCTTTGTCAGTGACTTATTTCCCCTGATGGAAAGATTTATACAGATGATTTATACCAGAAGTGGCTAATTTGGAAACATTTTCACTGCTGTCTTCATGGAAATCTTTCTCAATTGTGCTAAAGCAAGAAGGGATATTTCCCACCTTCAGGCTTCACTGTCAAGCTCTCTTCCATCTTCCTGCAGTCTATATGAAAAAATGAGGCAACAAACAACAAAAAGGGCTTTATATACCAAAAGCTTAATGTCTTGTCATCTTTTTATGTAAATTCCTGTCAGTCTGGGACAGTGTTTACTATGCAGTCTACAGCTCACTGTTTGCCGTGTAAGCTTAATGAATTTGCCACTGATCAATCAGTGTGTCACAAACGCTTGATGGGGCTCACTGTGTGGGAAGTATAGCTCTCAGCCACATTATCTGACAAAAGTGTCTATATAAGCAGTCATCCTGAAGTGCTGATTCTGTTATTTGATTTGGGATTAAACAGTCTGTTGCAAGCCATCTGCTTTCCTATGCACGCGTCCTTGAGAGGTTAGATTTCTACTGATGTTGCCCTAAACTCTAACTGGTATTTGAAAGATCAGAATTCACTTAGACATATGCCACTGAAATTGCTGGTCTTGTCCTACAGGACTGTCCAGATTTTGACGTGGGGGCCCGAATCAGGAAAAAGTGTACTTTTCTCACACTGTTGCTGAGTCAGAATCCTGCTGCATTTGGCCATGTGCCCTGAGACCGGAGAGTACTTGCCTGACAAAGTTTTACAACAGTTCACGCTCCTGAGGGTATGAAAGTGTGTGCTGGCTGTTCAAGCCTTATCTCCTGATGACTCCCAAAGAACGCACTTCTCTGGCCTATGCCTGATTACTCTGCAGAAACTCCTGTGGTTTCTGCTATCTCAGCAACTTCTGGAATACCCTACTGAAAACGTGCATATGTAGTAAGTACAAGTCTCTGCCTTCGTATTTGAAATAGAAAATGGTTGTGGTTCAATTCTAGGCAACCCAATCAAATAAAAACCTACTTCATTAATAATCTGACTATTCTTGAAGTAGATTTTGTGTGGGCCTCTATGCATAGAAATAACTTTATTTTTCTTTGGATGTGTATGTGTCATTGTATGCTGAAGTGGATACTTCTGGAAGTTCCCAGATGTGTACCCCACGAATATTGCTTTGGTTTGGGATCTGGACCCCACTTCTTATCTACTCCAATCAAATATAAGAAATAGCCAGAAGGCAAAAGGTAAAGGAGAGGACAATGTGGGCCACAAAATAACTGGTTATACTTATTTATTCATTTATTTTACTGTTTTTATTTCTCTATATTACCACTGTACTGGTTTCCCTCCAGAACCAGTAGAAACTGAAAAAAAAAAGGAAATGGAGACTATAGTCTAATGAGAATATATGAATGGACGAAACTATGAACCAATGAATATCTGAGCACAAATTTGATGACTGGTGCTGTGTTAGGTACTGATATAAAAGGGTGACCAATCTGAGTATGATCTGAGATTGGGGCAAATGCCCACAAGTACATAGGGAATTACAGTGTGGAAAATGCTGTGATTAGGAAGGTATAGCATTCTATGGAAACTCACAGGAGAGATCCTTAACTCATTCCTGGAAAATTCTATAACATTTAGATGGCTTTTAAGTAAGGGAATGGGAAAAACCTTGTAAGGGGAAGA